TGCTGCTATTATTTACAGCTAGGGAAACCGAGGCCCAGAGAGGTTGCAGCAAAGTGGTCCAGGCTGAAATGCCATGCCACAGCTGTCTGACGTGGCAGTCCAAGCGTTTCCTGACTCTGGGAAGTGCAAGTGGCCAGATGAACAGAGTTCGGGGCCACAGGCTGCCGACAGACGCTCAGACAGCAGGCTCCTGCTTTATCTGCGGGTCCTGTAGGAGCCCAGACACGTGGGGGCCCTGAACACACAACACCTGATTACTACTGCAGACAGCCCAGGAGAATGATGCCACCATGGGCAGGACCCTCAACCACGTGAAAAAGGAAACATGAAACACAAAACAAAGAAAAACCCTCTGTGAAGAAAAAGGCCTGGTAGCTACACCCTGAAATGGTCCCAGTTGCTGTCACTTATGGTACGACTATGGGGTAAATTTTGTCTTATCTTTGGGTTTTCTGTGAACATGGGGCCTGATCTTCCTCGACCAGTTCAGCAGAGCCAGTCTGGAAGGAGCTCTTCAATCTCCTGGTGCTGAGGCCACCCCTGCCACCATGTCACCTCTCCAGGTTGGTGGGAACCTCAGCAGGGCAAGCATGAGGAATGCAGCCGACAGCATCCCTCCCCTTCTCCTTCTTCTAGGTGCACCCCTGATGAGCTCCGACTCCAGGGAAACGAAGAGCAAAGCAGCCTGGAGAGGAGCCGGCATCTTCTGACCTCAGCCAGAGTGTCTCTGGACGCCCTGCTTCCTCAAGGCTGAGGCAGGAACCCACTGCGCTTCCAGAAGTGGGTGTGCAGGATGATGGACAGGGCCTGTGAATGCCTGTCACAGCTCTGTCCCCAAAGCCACCCTTCCCCACCCCATCCTGCAAGATGAAGGGCTCCTAAGATCCTCAGATGAAAGGCACCGGGTAAGCCCATCCATCATAAATACCATCCCTGGGCTTTTATTCTCTGATTGGGGCTTGCCTAAGCCACTAATTATCCCTGTCCATCAAGTGGATGACAGCCTTGGGGATAATCAATGGTTGCTTCCTTGCCGCCCACCCTCGCCCACTCGCCCAACCACACCAGCAATAAACACGCCTAGGAAAAGGAGCACCGAACTTCTCCGTCCACCCGCCCCCCGCTCCGCCGCAAACAGCTCCATTTGTAACTATGACACCCTAACTCGATAAATCAAAGACATCAAGCTCTTCCTCCTCCTGCGTTACTAGGTTTGATGCCCAGGCTGTCTGTTTTCTGACATATGGGTATGTCTCCACTTGAAATCAAAAGGACCAAACAAATATGTCAACCGTATCTTCAAAGTCATCTTATTTTTTAACTTCTCCACAAGTAAGCATTCCTGTGTCTACCCTGAGCCATCTAAGAGGGGAGCCACCAGCCAGGGGGGTTATTTAAATGTAAATTACAATTAAATAAAATTTAAAATTCAGTTACTCAGTCCCATGCTTCAAGTGCTCCACAGCCGCATGTGGCTAGTGGCCACCGTATTGGAGGGCGCTGACACAGAACACACACACCACTGCAGGAAGTTCTATTGGACAGCGCTGGCCGCGCTATGACAAAGTCACCCCGGGCCCCCCTGGGGCGTCTACAACTGCAACTAGGTTTCTGGGTCTACTATCTAACCTTTACAAAAATATGCGTGTGTGTGTGTGTGTGTGTGTGTGTGTGTGTGTTCCATGCGCCATGGTTCTTCAAAAATGAAACCCCCTTCCCTCTCCTTTTCCGTCCCCTAAATTCATCTTCTTCTCCCCCATGCCCGATTTTTACTGCCAGGGTATTCCCTTTAATATTCATATCCCTCCTGCCAAAAAAGATAGAGGAAGAGGTGGTAAGTGACTGCCTCCATCACTAGCCACCTGACACGTGCATGACTTGGTTTTCAAAGGCGAAAACCTGCCATCGAGGAGCCCAACCTGACTTCGTGATCTTCGCTGAGAACACCACCTCTCAGGTGAGCGGCACCTGTGAGAGAACAAAGGCTGCCAACAACCCAAAAGGGGCCACTGCTAGAACAGCCAGTTAACACCTCCCTTTCGCACAGAAACGGTAAGTAATTTGCCCAAGTTCAGGGAAGAGTTTACCCTCTTACCCAGTTAACTGAATTAATTGCTCCAAACTTATCTGGTTCTTCTAGCATAAAACTGTTCCATGGGTTCACCTAAGATGGGCTGATTCTCCCAATCTGGAAACCTGGGAACTCAATATTTAATCACCTACTACAGGGACGGGCTGCTTTTACCTAAGGGCTGGTAAGAAATGTCTGAGTACCTTTAAGGCTCTCCAGAACAATGAGTATACTACCTACCCCCTCTAAACTTTGTCCCACTATCCAGGGGCCAAAACTCATTTGTTTACTCCTGTCTATAAATGTCCACATGAGATAACGAACCTAAGCAAAATATCTGGTGACCGCACACCCTATAAAACGTCAAGTCTTTTCACCATTACTTCACATCTGCACACTTGCACTTACCCGCTTCTCTTCCCTGGAAGTGCCCTCTCTGCCTTGTCTCCACCCAACTCCAAAACTGCTTCAGCATTTTAGGGATTCGTTCCTCTTGGGGCCAATCTCTCCAACACCCTGAACAGACACACGCACCCACGACCCTAGAGAGGACCAGGAATGGGCTTGAGGTGTTGCTCCCCTAAATGAGCACCTCTGTGTCCACCTTACACTCCCTTCTAAATCGTAACCTCTCCCCAGGCAAGGACAGTGTGATGAACTTGTCAAGCCACCCTGGGGGCAGGCGCTGTCCTTGCTACGCTGTGCACACTTTCATGTGCTCTGCCACCTTCCACGGGACAAGATGTCCCCTTTGAAGCAAAGGCAGCACCTCCTCCATGATTCCAACTCCCACCCCAGGCTGCTAGGAATCATGCCCTGTGGCCAGTGAAGAGCCAGAGGCCACCAATGTCACTAAAAAAGGTGACAACTGTGTTTGTCATTACTATAGTCATTGCCTTTTTTTTTTAAGTGTCTTTCCACTGAATGTCATTCTCCCAGCCTAGATAGAAGACCCAATGTGCGGCCATATTCCAGAGTCTGAAAGGCCCAGTGTGGCCTGGTGGTTAAGAGCATAACTGTAGAGTCAGTCTGCCAAATTCAGATCTATCCACTGGGTGACCTTGGGCAAGTTACTTAATCACCTGGTGCTGGCCTGCAGATGATGCTAATGGCAGTCTCCACCTCGAATGATGGTTATGAGGTTATGGGGAAAAGATGACTAGCACATAGTACTCCATACTGCTTTAAAGAGACAATGTGCAATGCCAGTCACCCTGACCGGGACATTTAATAAGCATGTAGTATGCAGGGTAGATCACACAGAGGTAAGAGACCAAAGTGCTGGGGAACTCAGTCTAGCAGGAAGGCTGAGGTGGAAACCATCCATCCCAAAGCCCTGCGGGGCGGCACACTCCAAGCATAAAGTACTAGAAGGTGGCGTTGGTGCAAGCTCTCCAGAGCAGAGTAAGGCCTCACCTTGGTCTCAAGGCTAACAGGAATTTTCTTGGCAAAGAGGAAGGAAAGGAGGAGGGAGGAAGCATTCTCTGGAAAAGACAGAATCAGCCAAGGAAAGCAAGTAGAGGAGGCCATGCTATGTCTAGGCACAGGGTTCATTTTGTCCACCTGGAACACATTCTAGAAATATCTATTGTGGGGCGGGGGCCAGAAAGCAGGGAGATAGCTCTCAACTCACTTCATGAGCTGCAGAGGAAGCTCTTGGCAGCTCAGTGTGGCCCATGGTTCTCGGGCCACCCCCACCTTCCACCTACTCCTGGTGCAATCCCAGCAGGACTTACCAGAGAATCGCCTGAAGCACTGAGGTGTTTTGTGAAAACTGCAGATTCCCAAGCCCCACCCCAGATCTACACAGTCTCTGGGGATGGGGCCGGGGGATCTGCATTTTAACCCATTCCCTGGGTACACTCTTGCTTGCTAAAAATTACATATGCTAAGTTTTGAAAATCACTGCATTAGATATGACGCCACATGTCCCTCTGAGCTCTTGGAAGCTGGGGATCAGCAATTTCCTTGGTCCTAATGTCCATGTCTGGCTCCTTCAGAAGGAATCCCTGGAGATGAGCACTCACACAGGGCAGTGTGAACTGAGAAATGCTATTTGCAAGGCACTGGGGAGTGGGTTTCAAAAGCCTGAAGAACTGTACACCTTTTGACCCAGGATAAATGCTTCGAGGGGAAACCATCGATGTAAATAGATGTCCAGTAACAAAGATATACCCATCAAGATATACTTATCACAGTGCTGCTTGTAATTAGCAAAAAACTGGATGCAGCCTAAACGTGAATGAGGAAGGAACTGGCCCTTACCCCAGGGCCTTTGCATATGCTCTACCCATCCCTGGATCATTCTTCCCCCCATATCCACACAGTTTACAAGTTATTACTCAAGTGTCACCTTCTCCGTGAGGCCTGCCCTAACCATGCTATTTAAAAACAGCAACACTGCTTTTTCCCTATTGCACACAGATCCTTCTAATGTACAAGGGAATTGGTTTATTCCATTTGTCTTTTCCTCACCGGCACTCCCCAGTCCACTAGAATGTTCCAGGAGGGCATGGATTTGGGTCCCTTTTGTTCATGGCTATATCACCAGCACTTAGAACCTGGCACGCAGTAGGCCCTCAAATAAGTGTTGACCAAATGCATTGGAGACATGCAAAACAATGCAACCCTGCACAGCCATTAAAACTGACCTTGCTTATAACTACACACACACACAGAAAGGCAAGGAAGGACACTAGGTCGCTAAGTGAAAAAAGAATTTCTGGCATCACACAGGCCGCATGACCCTTTGTTTCAAATGTGTGTGCTCTTGTGAGTGTCTGTACATAACCCACTTAGTAATCAAGTGGCTGTGCTGACTTATTTTTTACTTAACTGAAGTTCCTAGTTTTTCTCCCATTAACTTTACATTACTTACATAATCTTTGCGAAGTAATCCCTCATGAAATGCTCTCAAAACATTTGCTAATTTTTTTTTTTTTTTAGAAAAAAAGCTGCCTCCTCTGTGACTTAATTAGGGTGTTCCTAATTAAGGCCAGGATAACATCAAAGAGGCCAGGTTCCAGGGGACCCTTGCACCAGCTCTACTTCTGGTTGCAAAGCGACCTCAGTCCCTCCCGGCAGCACCTCAGGCAGCTCAGACGGAGGACTTGGCCATGGGCTACTCCTGGCTCTGCTCCCCTCTACCTGCTTCCTATAGGGGTGCCTCATCCAATTATTCAGGCCCTCGATCACATCCTGCTGCAAGAGTTGGCTTTGAAGGTTCAGTAAACAGTCACTTCAAAACAAAAAGGGACCATTAAACCAAACTCAAAGACTTCCTTAATGGCTGTGCGCTGAAGCTGCAGGAACGGAGCTGGCCTCAGAAGTGAGGTCTCCCTGGGAACTAATCCCCAAGCATTTCCAGCCTCCTGCTGCAAATATCTCCCCCCTTCCTGTTTTGCACTGGGTCATGTGGGGTGCAGAGCCGTTACTGGGGCGACCCTTGACGGAGGGGTTTCTCCAGCAAAACAAGTGTGCTGTGTGTGTGGCTGCCACCTTGGACAGCTGTATCAGATCCTGTGGCCTCGCCCCCCACCCCAAGGCTGCCCACATAGTTCTCTCTGCTGACAAGTTAGAGGCACCAGCCAGGGTAAGTCAACTGCCCAATAGCTTCATGTCAACAGCCAGGTCTTATTCCTCTTTAATTAGAGGGAGACCCCTTGAGCTTCTGGAAGAGGCTCAGAGACAAGTCTAGATTTTTGTGTGTTTTATCTGGCTCACCCTGAGTCCTAATGGTACAGACAGAACAATCAAAGAGACTGATGAAATATAACCATTACAGAATCGAAAATGCTACGCTGTAAGAGACAGCCCAGCAGGGTGAAAAAGAACACAGACCCTGAAGCCAGACTGCCTAGATTCAACTCCCAGCTGTGCCTGTCCCTTGTTGTACCACATGGGCAAGTGGCTTAACCCCTCTGCACCTCAGTTTCACCATCTGTAAAATGGGAACTATAATATTAACAGTTACTGTAACTACTTCACTGGGTCACTGGGAAATTAAGTAAGTCTTTACTTGTCAAGCACTTAGCATAGTTTCTGGTAGTCACATCAAGGCTTGTTAAATAAGTAAATTAAAACTCACTTCTCGGTTTGAGTGTCACCTAGACCAAAAGTCTTCCCAAACTCTCTTCCTTCACCAAATGGGAATCAGAGGCTCTCCCCAGAGCCCCCACAATCTCAGGCTGACTTCGATCATGGTGCAGATCTCACTAAATTCTGATGACTTGCCTGCCTCTCTTCTAGCTTGAGCATTCAGGGCAAGGACCATGTCTCTCTTGTTCATGGGTATATCTCCACCACGCAGCAAGCAGCGCCAGGCAACATATTTGTTGAATACATGTACTCTGTGTGCTCTCAAATTATTTATATGTTGAAAGCTGAAAAGCATTGTACTCTTGTCTATTGTGTTATAAAGTGAAGACACAGGTTTCTCCTATTTCTGAAACATCCGGAACTCAGTGCCACTACGGGCAGGGTACTCTGTTAGGAATTACTATGGCAGTGGAGGCAGACACACAGAGCATTTATTTAGCACTTATTTCAGGCTAAACCCTTTACATACACTTTCTCATTTAATATTCAACAACTTTAAGTGGCAAGTCTTATTCACCTCCTCCCCCATTTAACAGATAAGAAAACTGAGGCTCAGGAAAGTTGAGTGACTTGTCCAGAGTAATAGAGCTAGGAAGAGGCAGAGCCAGGCTTCGAAGCCCCAGGGCAACCACTTTTTAAGGGAGAATGTAATAAATACCAGGTAGAATCAACAAAGAATGTGAAAAATGACCTAAGAGTTTCCAGGTTGGAGGAAGTAGGGGGGACCAGAGAATGAGGTCACTTTCTGATGGGGCCTTGAAGGATGAGGATTTCAACAGGCAGCAATCGCAGGGGCCGGACACACTGCAAGAGTGAGGAGCACAGGACGTGTTCAAGGAAGGCAGGGAACCCAAGCTGGGAAAGACAGGGCACATAGCAGGCCATGCAGCTGGGGCCAAATCGCGGGGGTCCTCAAACACCAAGCTAAGGCAGGAGGGCCACGGTCTGCAGACAGGCAGAACCCACACACAGCCAAGTCTTGGGAAGGGGCAGAGGTTCAGTACACAGCTGCTACTACCGGGCAGGCTAGAGGCAAGTGAAGTCACCCCAGAAAAAGAAGAAAACTCAAACAACTAGACAAAAAAGATCGCCCTGATAAAAGCAACTCCCCTCCCCTGGCCTTAGCATCTCTAAAATAGACTTTCTATTTCCTAAAGTGATAAAATAAATGCCCTGAGGACCCTTGTGAGGCACCCCACCCTCCCCTACCCCTATAAACAGACAGAGGGTTTTGCAAATTGAGAAATTGAATGCAAATAGGCCCTTGTTGGACAAACTGACTGTCACAATTAACTCAGGAGTGATTTGTTTAGCAAGAAAAAAAAAAAAAACTCAAGTTCATTTCCGGCTACTTCACTGCAAGCACTAAATACTACTCCTTAAGGGTGGGGCAGTGTCTGCCCTAAGAGAAATGGAGGCGATAATTACTACACTGATTTTAAGACTTCAAAAATATTTCATCCCCAAGTCTACAAGACAGAGTAATACTGTAACAGTAGCTGACATCTGACTGCATGTGTGCCAGGCACCATGTGAAAACCTTCATATGTGATATCTCATTTCAGAATCCTCATGACCCTATAAGGTGGGTAATTCATTAGACTCATTTTACAGAAGAGGAAACTGAGGTTAAGAGAGACTAAGTAACTTGCCCACCAGATTTGAAATCAGATCCCTTTGACTCCTAGATCAGCAGTAGCTCCAGAATTTCTATGGCAGCAGTTTAGGGGCAGTGTTGTGGCCAGCAAGATGTAGAGGAAGGAAGGATAGGCAGGAAGCTGCATTACAAAGCAAGCATACGATTTTTATTTACTTACAAGTTATAGATCTGTACCATTCGATATCATAGACACCACCCATATATGGCTATTTAAATTTAAACAAATTAAAAATAAAGTTAAAAATTCAGTTCCACTAGCCACACTTAATGTCCTCAACAGTCACAGGTGGCTACTGGCTCATGTATTTGACAATTTCCATCACTGCAGAAAACTGTATTGGACAGAACAATTATAGATCAACAAAACACAGCAAAATATTCTGAAGATGTTGTTTATTTGTTGTTTATTTTTGTTTATTTTTCTATTTCAATTTGTTATTGTTTATTTTTCTATTTCAATTTATGTACCTTAACATTTAACTCAAAGTTTCTATAATTTTTCTTTTCAATTGTACTAAAATACACATAACTAAAATTTACCATCTTGCCCATCATTAAGCACAGAGTTCAGTAGTGTTAAGTATATTCACCTTGTTGTGCAACTATCCAAAGGTGCTCCTATTCAGACTTAGGTAAGATTGAGAAAACACTTTGAGGGGCTGAAATTGTGCAAGGGGAGGCCTTATACTAGCTCAGTGGTTCTCCACCCTGGATAGACACTAGAATTACCTGGGCTGCTTTTCAAAATCCTAGGGCCCAGGATGCACCCAGAGCACTGAATGAGGGGTCTGGGGAATGGGGCACAGGCATGAGCATCTTCCAGCTCCCAGGGAACCCAAAGGGCCCTTCCCTGTAACCATGCCCATTCTGCCGAAAGAGGTACACCTGCCCAGAACCTCCTCTTCTGGCAAGACCCACTCCTGCAGGCCCTGGGGTTCCTGTTGTGCAGGAGGTGGCAGAGGAGGGAGACACAGGGAAAATCTGCTCCCCTTCTGCCCGCCAGTGCTCAGGAGGCTGCAGATGCTGAAGGAGGTGAAACTTCTGCCATCCAGTTCTTTGAGAGAGAGAAAGCAAACAAAAACACACGGCTCAAAAGGCACTCAACTGATTTTTTTTTTTCACTCCACTTAAACTAGACAGGAAAAGAAAAACCACTTAGAAACTATGACCAAAGCTGTAGATGCCAAGAATCGGCACAGGAAGGATTTTTCTTGGCGAGCCCACCAGCTGCTCCAAACACAAGACTTGTAATGGCTCTACCAACTCGGCCCAAACGGGAGGGCTACTGGGACGTGATTAAATACAGAAAGCTCTTTTACAAGAGAGGGCCAGGGCTGGACACAAAGCGAGTTCAAGGTAAGGAGTTCTCTTGCAGGAGTCCCTTGAACTCTGGGTGAACTTAGTTAATTCAGATGATTATGGGAGTAGGAGGGGGTTGCCAGGTTTGCAGAGTCGCCCAACCTCAGGGACCAACAGATTCCCGAGATCTATGGCCAGTCACTGAGAAGACTCTATGTACTTTGTGTGGGGACAAGTACAGGCACTGAAGGTGACTAGCCTGAGCCTGGCCCCAAAGCTTCTGTGCCTTCTGCACACCCAGGGGAACGAGAGGAAAGGGGGTGATGCCAGGTTGCCATTGGAGAAGACTTAGTAAGTGGGAGAGGGAAGGAAGCCACGCTATGTAAATATATCATAAATGAAATGATTTCCACAAATATGACAGCCAGACTGGAGCCACCCACCCCACAAGAGGCCTCGCAGCATCTCAGTTCAAGCTTACACCCCCTCTCCCTTACTTAGGGATGCTCTACATACAGAACTCCAGCCTCAGGGCCAAACAGGCTCCGCCTCTCCGTGGCCTCAGATAAGTTACTGAATCCCTCTAAGCCTCAGTCTTTTCATCTGTTAAGTGGGTAGATGTGAAGAAGACATGACATCATGCACACCAATTACTTAGCACATTGCCTGTCACACGGTAGGCCCCCACAAGTCCTTTCTGCCCCCTGCTCATGGCATGCAATGCACACTAAGCACCTACTATGAACATCTTAAACAACCAAAACCCTCACATTTGTTCAGCAGGTAAAAACACAGCCACCTCCAACTAAATCAGGAAGCAGCCAAGATGAAGAGAGTTGCATGCCAAGGCCTTCCAAGCACTGGGAGGTGGGCTGCTCTGGAATGGATTCTGCACTGAAAACAGCTTTTTAATTTTTGTGGTCATTTTGATTTGTTTTCGTGTAACATACTCAGATGAAACTTTCTGCAGTCTCCAGCTAAGTCAAGGGAGAACCTCGGCAATGAAATACAACGGGCTTCCTTAATGCTCAGCCAATTAATTTATTCCAGTTTGTCTCTCCCATTTGCTACTTAATAAGGCCATATCAGCAGTGCAATCTGCAAATCTGAGTTAAACTGTTAAGGCATCAGTCCGTTCCCTTTAAGAGGCCTCAAATACTTATTGTCTGATGTCCTCCACAGCTAAATCTGTCCTTTGGCTTTGGTTTGGTTTGGGGAGAGGTAATTGTTTGTTTTTATAGAGGTGTGGGTTTGGGGGGAAAGGGCCCGAAGGCAGTTCCAAGAAGTACTGGGGAACTCTAATGACCTCACTTTTCCATACCTAGTTTGAACATCTAAATGGTCTCACTACAGGAGAAGGAATCTTGCCAGCTCTCACCCACCCTGTGAAGATGGGAAAAAGTCTAGATGAAAATTGCAGATAAAGCATCTAACGGATCAATAATTTCAACCTTTCCACCCTTCTAAGCATTTCAATAACCTCAAGTGAGCTAGCCAAATTGACAGATATCATTTTAGCTTTTTCCTTTTCCCCATGACCAAGATGCAAAAGAAGAGTTCAAAGGGCAAGAAGTCAGCTGCTGAGAACACACATCATGCATGGAATATACTTATGCTAAAAAATTGTTCACTATTTATCCAAAATTCACGTTTAACAGGAAATTCTGTGTTTTTACTTACTGCAATAGTAACACTGACTTTGGTGCCTGCAACACAGCTGATGCTCAATAAATACTGTGATGCCAATAAGAACTGGGTGATCGCTGACCCAGGCAAAATCCAAGCTCAGCTTACCTTCCATGAGCACCAGGACCTAGGAGTGACCCCCTCTCTCCCTCTGGGGCATTACAAACTGGGGAGTTTCGGAACATAAAGGTTCACTGCATCAGGCAACAAGTTCTAAGGGCCTTGGGGCCCCATGTGGCCTTCTGGATCCTTGAGTGCGGCCTTTTGACTGAATCCAAATTTTACAGAACAAATCCTTTCAATAAAGGGATTTGTTCTGTGAGGTTTGGATTGGTCGAGGGGCCGCACTTGGGGATCTGCAGGGCTACATGTGGCCTTGAGGCCGCAGGTTCCCCACCCCTCTTTGATTAAATAGGATGTATAAGGGGTTTTCCCCATAGAAACGCTCAAGCCAAGACCAAAAATGACATCTTTCCAAACCATGACAACAAAGATTTGCACCTAAGAAACCAAAAAGATTGACCTACACAGACGAGGCCCTAAATCTCTGAGCAGGCACCCATTCCAGCCAGTTCCTGCTGTCAATTTTACGACATCTTTACTTTGCCTTCTTCTCCCAGGGGCCCAAAATGAGGAAGCTGTAAAAATCCTAGCCAAATACAACCATTTGCTAAGAGAAAAGCCAACATGGGGGCCATCTGTCCTTTACAAGGGCTCTGCTAGTCCTGCCTTTGTGTGGTTGTCATCTTTACAGAGCGTGGCCCACCTCCCTCAGAGCACCTGGCTGAGGCCTTGGCTGGGTTTTCAGTATCTTCCTAGAGAAAACTTTTTTTTTTTTTTTGAAGCGTCAAAGGGAAGTCCTGTAAAGACTGACGCTCTTCCCCAGGCTGGATTACAAGCCATTCCTTCAAGGCCACCATATTCTATAGACATTATCTGTTTACAGCCCACAGGACAAGGAGCTCTCCAAGGGCAGGGCCTAGCAAAAGGCCTTCCACACTGCAGGTCCCCCATAAACAGCAAGGAAGTGCACCTCCCTCTGACGGGAATCCCAAAGCAGTGAAGGGACAAAAACAACCCTGAAATCATTATCCGGCGCTGGACCCACTACCCACATTCTTGATCTTATGATAAGCAAGGGAAAATATCACGACAGGCCGCACCGCAGAAAGATTTCCATGGAATGCAAGAAGTCCCTTTAGCAGTTCTAATTTTAGGCAGGACTGAGAAGAGAGGACAGTGGTGGCAAACAGGGACGGGGGTGGCGGGGAGGAACCAAACAAGGCTCCTATTCTGCTGCACACAGGTGCTGGTAACAGGACACCCCTGTCTAACGTGACCCGTGGGTGGAGGAATCAGGTGTGGCTGGGGGTTTTTACACCGTCACATCGCAGAACCCTGAACACACTCTCCTACCCTGGTACAAAGTTCTCCCTGCAGCAGGCCCAATTCAGCAGTTCAGCTCCTGACATGCTGATTCTTGAGCAACAAGGGTGAGGAAAATATTTGATTTTAGCATCCAACTGTTTTTTTTTTTCCAAGTCAAGTTAAATATTAAAAGAAGAAAGTCATCCACAAGGTGAGCTGCCCTCAAGTTTGGCCAGCAAAGTCTCCTAGTCTTAAAAACTCCTCAAACATCACTGAATTCTATGCCAGTTCCATTCCTGAAGAGCAAAGGCACAAATCTGTTTGCAGTGTATAGCCCACCCTTGCCAGGACGTGGGATAGAAACTACAAAAAGATTCCAGGACCTCCTGAAAGCAGTCAGCATTGTCTACACATCACAAGGCAGTCAACAGTCACTTCCAGACTACTGTTCCCCCAGACAAATCAGCTATTCGGCCCTTCCCGCCAGCCACACGAATATCTTGTCTCCCCTTTCCTTTGGGGCCAACTCACACCAGACGACTTGATGGGTGATTTATGTGGATGGAAGGAAAGACAGCCAGTAAGCGATTTTGCACACCACCATTCATTAGTGACCACCACCACAGCAGGGCGGAATAAAGGGGAAAACCACCAGGTTTCCTCTAGTCAAAGAATCAATAAGTTATTTAACAGCTGCTGCTTGCTTTACGCAGTGCTAGATCCCAATGGAAGAAAAGTCAGGCTTTCTTCCACACCCTACCCCCTGGAATAAAACACACACCCCGACAGCCAGTCGAGGACTTAGCCGGACGAAATATCTTAGAAGAAAGCAAAAAGAATCCTCTCTAGCTTTTCTATATCTTGAGATTTGGGGGTTTCAGAAGATGGATGATGCCAGGCCTTGAAATTACTCCATTTTTTGTCGTTTTCCTTTTTTCTCCAAAGAGGAAACTGACTCCCTTCCTGTGTTGCCTTGGAAAATCAAATGTTACTAATAAAACCATTTTCCTTACCCTTTTCTCACCCCAGTCTAATATTACATCTGAGAAAATAACTTAAAAATGTTATCAAGATGGCATTCCAAATGGGTTTCCAACATTTATGCTTCTCCCTAAAGCACAGAGAAAGGGGACCAAAGGTATTATTTGAGAGTTTAAAGAAGAGAAAAAGAGGATATAAGCAGGTCATTAGAAAGTCAGCTGATTTCAGATATTAAAAACTGACCTTTATAGCTAATGACTTAATGCATCTGTACACTATACACTGCTTATCCCAGATGCCCAAATTTTAAAATGTTTAAATTTCCTTTTAAAAAGTCACTGCCATCTAATCCACGAAGAAGTCTTTTAAGAAAACTCCATGAAAATATTCAGCAAATGTCTTATGTATAAACAATCTTGGAAATCAGACACTCCCTTTTTCTTGATCTCACGACTCCCCAAAAGTCTAAAATTCTGCAGAACCCACAGCATGTTTTAGTCTTCCACTCCACCTTGCTTTGAAAATCTTACTGCCAAAACAAAACAAACAAAAAACCCTTTCAAATATATGCTTTCCCACAGGATGTAGAACAAACTTACTAAATTCAAAGGGAAAGAAGTCGGGACCCACAAACTCTAGGTCAGCATTCACTGGGCATTAAATAAGAAGTCTTTATTTTTAACTGCAAGCAACTGCAGGGAAAAAAACACCACCTTAGCACCCAGGAGTCCCCAGCTAGGGCAACACACTGCCCAGCAGCCACAGGATGGCAGGTAGAAAGCAGGACAGCGCACCCTTTGGACAGGTCACCTTCTGAAGGGCTTTGGATTCAAACTAATCAATAGGAAGAACCGAGCCCGGATTCTGGATTAAAGAACAAAGAGAGAAAAACTCCAGGTGTGATCACTCCGGGACTGCAGTGGGTAGATCGGTTAGATCACTGGGCTCCTTGTTACTACTGAGGGACTGGAAACATCCATTTATCTCCTCAAAAAAAAAAAAAAAACATAAGCAGCTTTACCAACCTATCTCAAATTCCTCCCCTGGAGACCAGAAAACACCATTCGTGCCTCAAACCAAATCTTGTTTGACTATGGTCTATAAGGTCTGTAGAATTTAACAATAAATACTGGGGCCCATGGAAGGGCACCAATCTTTGTCTCAAAAGACCACTTTAATAATTCAATGTGGTTTGGGGGCAAAGGAATAAAAGGGGCTGTCTCTGAACAGGGAATAATCCATCTAATTCCAGTGGCTGGATTAGAGGCATTCCTCGGCAAGCAGGGTCTGGCTGCAGATTATGCTCCATGAATGTCAGTTTCTGACAAAAGGCACTGAGCTCTGTAGAAGGATTTCAAAATGGACAAGCCCAGGACAGAGGCACCTTGGTAAAGTTCACCCCGGGCGAGGTGGCAGTTGGTTCTAAAAGAGGGAAGCAGGCCATGACAGCTGGGCATTCCTTCCCAAAGTCCATCTCCGAGGCACGAAGCCTCTCCAAACCCTACACTTCATCAGACAAAAGCTCCTCCAGGCACCCAGGCAGCGGCTGAAGAGGGGCTGTCCACACCCACTCGCTGCACAGCTTTCCAAACCTGCCCACTCGTTTTGGAAGCCTAGCTTTTAATTAAACACCACCTCCCCGGATCTGGATCTGTTGAGGCAAACTGGGGCTGGGCTAGAGCCAAAGAGAAGCTCCCTAAATACACATTTAAAAAAAAAACTCCCCTACCACCCTCAATTCCCACCTCCAGCCAGCTCGTGCGGCTGGCTGTATTTCCTTTCGGATGAGTAACATAGGGCCCTGGTCTATCTCTGTGCACCAGAAAATACACATCTGAGGATCAGGTTATCCCCAGTCCCACCCTTTGCAGGAAAAAGCCAGGGTGTTGTTCCCCGCCCCCAACACGCGCACGCGCACACAAGCACGCGCGCACATACACACACACAATCTTCACAATCCTTCCAAGAGAAAACGTGGAGAGGGAGACAGAGAGTGTGTGTGTGTGTGTTTGGGAGGGCGGGATACAGTTGTTTGGGGGGGTCCCAATCTTGCCTTCAAGCAGGGAGCCTCAGCTGGGGGAAGGAGGGCCCCCTGCAAGGCTGCCCTGGGAACTTCTGCTCCGCGTCCTCGGGGAGGGCTAGGGGAAGGCATGCACACCTTCACCAGCTTTGGAACAGCATAATTAATAACTAATTTGCTCATATCCCCCCACTCCAGGTAAACCTGATAACCTAGGACCTCCCTCCCAGTCTCCCAGTCCTTGCGGCCGGTCTGAGCCCCCACTCGCTCCCCACCACGACGCCTGGCGCCCCAACTCCATACCCAAGGGAATCAGGTGTCCGCCTGCCCGGGCATCCAGCCCTGGCGGGACGAAGACACTTAGTGTAGGGACAGACAATGGGAAACTCGGAGCCGGGGCCCTGAGCTCCTAGGGGAAGGAGATGGTGCCGCCCCCTGGGACAATGAACCGGGAGAGGTCAGGGGGCATCAGGCACCCCCAAAGAAGCCGCCCGCCCGTCGACCCAGCGGAGCCCAGAGCAGCACCCGCCCGGGGTGAGCAGGTGACACCCGAGCCCGGGAGCTCCCGCAGGTGGCCGGCGGCCACGACACAGGCAAGGGCCGGGCGCCTGGCCCGGGGCGGAGGCGAAGCACGGCGGCGAGGTCAGTGCGCCGCGGCCCCGGCGTCCTACCTTCATGTCGCTGATGATGGTCTGGAAGAGGCCTCCGAGCGCGCTGCATTCCTTCTCAATCACAGCCTCCATTTTCCCGGCGCGGGCAGGGGGAGGACACACACGCGGGGCCGCTGGACTGCGCGCGGGGCCGGGGCTCGCTCACCCCGGGAGGAATTTCACCCTCGGAGCGACCCACCTCCGACCGGCAGCCTCCTCTGCAGAGGGCACGGCGTGCACGAGATCGACTGTTCTCTGCCCAAAATAATAACAGCAATAATTTTAAAAGCCAAACCGCTCTGTAGGGTGGTGGTTCGCCTACATGCAACGCTCGGCTCCTGGCCTTAAAAACGCCGGGAGAAGACTGACAATCAGGCCACCAGTGGTGCCCACGAAGGAAACGGCAAAGCCCATCTTGATGCAGAGAAAACCGCCCGCTGACCCGGAGCCAGCGCCATTTAAAAATGCAAGATTTTCAAATGTAATAAATTGTTTTGAAATAAAATAAAAAAATTCTCCAAACAGCAGAGCGGGTCTGCCCGCAGCGCCCGGATCTGTTGCTCGAAGCCGCGGCCGCCGCCTCCTTTTCACTCCTGCGCGCCCGGCCCCGGCGCTCGCTCTGGCTGGGCTCCCGGGGACGTTCCGAGGGGCGCACGCGCGCTCGCGGCCGTGCGTCTGCCGCACGCGGGCGGGGCTGGGAGCGCGCGCCCGGGAGGCGCAGGGGGCGCGGGCGGCGGAGAGGCGCTGGCTGGCTGGCGGGCGGTGGCGCGGGCCGCGCTGGCCCGGAGTCTTCCCCTCCACTGCACACCGAGCACCCCTCCTCCCCAGGCCGCCCGTCGCGGCGCGGAGAGGGCGTGCCAGCACCCGGCCAGCCAGCGGCCACCCCACAATGGCTGCAAGCGCCCGGGACAGAGCCTGCACCGCCGCTCCCTGGGGACTACTTGCACGGTGGCACTCTAAGCCCAGCGCCGGCTTATAGTGAGCGCTCAGTAGGGCGGGAAAGGTGCTGCAGCCAGGGCAGCCTTCTGAGAAGAGGCCCATTCCGTGATGTCAGGACTGCAACGCCGAGTCACGATTGCAAATAGCCAAATATATAATTAAGGAGAGTTCGGAGGCGTCCTCTGCAGTGGCATCCGAGAGTTCGATAAAGTTGCAGGATGCTGGGAAAGTGGATTGATTTGCGCGTTGCAAGATGAACAGAAACGGCGTTAGAGCTTCTCTCTGCTGTTGATTAGCCTATAGAGATTGCTGACTGCCTGTGACTTGGACGGCTGATGTTTTTCAGGCCCACTGAGAGCCCTCTTGGGAGCTTTAACCTGGAAAGAGCACAAATGTGCCCAGGAGGATTTGGGGCCTGGTGGTTCATTTTCGCAGCCCTACTGCTTATCTACTTAGATAGACCACTCATTCAGATTAACATCAAATGGGCCAGGGAGAGGGGAATCAAATGATCAACTTTTTTAAAGACCTTAAAACATATGCATCTAACAGTGCCTTTGATCCTTGAGTTAACTATTTGAAACACAAAATATAACAAACGGAAAACACTAGGAGGGCAGCCAAAAGAAACCAAGTGCAAACTGCTGTACCTTGTGTCAGATTCACTGAGTAGTAGGAAAAGATCTGACTTTGAAAACCATGTGGGTTAAAGAGATGCATGGAGCTGCATATCACAGCTGCAGAAGATAATTTTTCCCTGCAATCCCCTTCTCTGCCTGTCTCCCCAAAATCACCAGGGAGGGGTGTTACCTTCAGGAAGTAACTGATCTCTTGGTCACTGTCCCCAAGGACTTTCGGATGCATTGGCCTCATCTGCACCTTGCCAATCAGCGTGCTTGATACATAGTTAGCTCTCAATCATCATTATTATGATTTTAATACTATCGGTATTACAATGACAAAGATGACTGCTAATACAGCCAGATTGCCTGGATTCAAACTCTAGTGTACATCCTACTAACTGTATGGCCTTGAATAAGTGACTTAATCTCTCTGGGCCTCAGTTTCCCCATCCTAAGTGGGGGTAATAATGGCATCTACCTTATAGGGCTGTTCTGCACATTACATGAGCTAATATCTGAAAGCACTTAAAGTGTTATCTGCCATATAGCAAATAAGGACTCAAACCTTATCAACAGAAGATAAAGAGATGAAGCAAGGCTTCTCTAATGTGACATGCCATCCCAATGACATTGCTGAGGACCTACTGTATGCAATCTAGGCATTTTACCTGTGTTATATCTAATTGATGGAATTCAGCATACTGGTCCTTGTTTTACTGTTGGAAGGACTCCGGTTCTGGTTTTCTGACTCCCATGCCCCCAAATCTCCCTTCTGCCCAGCCTCCAGAGCTCCTGAGATAAGGAGCCCCTGCCTTAGCCCAGAGGAAGCTGAATTCAGCTTTCCTGCCACATGTCTGAATTTAAATGCTCCAAACACCCCAACTTTAGCAGTGTTTGCCAAAGTAGGCCTCTATTGTTGCTTCTTTTGTCCCTGGGACTCTCCTGGCATCAGGCCTGACAACCAGGCCCTTCTGTCTCGTGAAGAAGTGAAGCATCCCTAACCTCCTTGAAAGGGAGTCTGCAAAAGTGTTCCCCAAGGTAGGACAGACAATTGGCTTTTTTTTTTTTTTTTTGAGACAGAGTCTCTCACTTTGTTGCCCAGGCTAGAGTGAGTGCCATGGCGTCAGCCTAGCTCACAGCAACCTCAAACTCCTGGGCTCAAGCAATCCTGCCTCAGCCTCCCGAGTAGCTGGGACTACAGGCATGCACCACCATGCCCGGCTAATTTTTTCTATATATACTAGTTGGCCAATTAATTTATTTCTATTTATAGTAGAGACGGGGTCTCGCTCTTGCTCAGGCTGGTTTTGAACTCCTGACCTCGAGCCATCCGCCCGCCTCGGCCTCCCAGAGTGCTAGGATTACAGGCGTGAGCCACCGCGCCCAGCCCAATTGGCATTTTTATTAAGGCCTGTGAGGAAGCTGGTGAGTAGAGGGAGAATGAGCAGGAGAATGACAAAAGATCAAATTTAAACTCCTTATGTTATATTCTTTTCCCACATTTGAGCATCTTTCTAACTTTCCCCTTCTTTCAAAACATCAAGCACTCACCTCACCTGGCAGACATCAAGATCCTATTAACATGCAACTCCTCCCAAGAGTATTTGCTTCTTGTTGTTGTTTTTAATAGCTCCCAAGAGGAGTAACCCAAAGGAAAGAATCTCCATTAGAGGAATTTCAACCCCTGTGGTCTTGGGGAAGAAAGATTGGGAGGCACTGAAGTCCTCCCAAAGCAACTCCCCTCCCCTCCTTCCTGCCAGGCTGGCCAGTGGATGGTGGGGTTAGAGCATGCACTACCATCTTCTAGCTCTGTGACCTTTGGCAAGTTATTGGATCTCTGGAGCCAGCCTCTCTCTCCTCCCGGGTTCCTAACTCACTGGCTGTTCTGAGGATTGAAATGGATGTCAAACGCCTATCACATAGTAGGGCTACACACATGAGTCCCCTCCCTTCCTGGTAGTGATTTTCAACCCTGGCTGCCCCTAGGACCCTGCCTGGTTCTCAAACTCGGCTGTCCATCAGAATCCCCTTGGAGGAATTTTAAAACACCCATGTCTGGGCTTTATTCCCAGCAAGTCTGATCTAATTGGTCTGGGCTGTGGCCTGGGTGCCAGGCTGGTTTAAAGCTTCCCAGGTGATTCAAATGTGCAGCAAAGTTAAGAACCCTGATCTAGGGAACTTTAAAAGAAGGTACGCAGGCACAAGTTCTACCCCTAAGCAATTCAAGTAGAACCTCTGGGGGTTGTGCTCCAAAATTTTTTAAATGTATCATGCATATTTTATTCCATCCTCACATAAGGACATACAGATGCATGTGTATGGATTTTGTCATTGTTTTACAAAAATGGGAGCATGTCACACACACTTTTCTGGATCTTGCTATTAGCAATAATTTCTGCAGAAATCCCCCCAGGTCAACTAATGATATTCTAATTCATTCATTTTCCTTTTAATTTTTTATTTGACATACTTTCAGACTTACAGAAAAGTTGCAAGAAGAGTACAAAGATATCTCATTTGCCCTTCATTAGATTTCCCAAATGTTATGCCATTATGGTATCTGCTTCATGCTTGGGTATGTTTTAAAAGCTCCTCAGGTGATTTTAACATGCAGCTAAATTGCTATGCAGGCATCCCAGGTTGCTATGAGACAGGCAATGTTTGTGAAACTTGTCACCCTTGTGAGGGGGCTTTGTATTGAACAAGTTGTTTGAGTGGGTTAAGACGGTGGGCCCAGAGTCAGGTTGCTGGAATTCTGGCTCCTTCACTTCCCAGCCTTCTGTGCCTTGGTTTCTTCATCTGTAGAATAAGAATTATACAAGTGCTAACTCTTAAGGCTACGAGGCCTGAATGGAATCACTTGGACTGGCATTTGGCGCACAGTCAGCACTCACTAACGGTTAGCTATTTACATATTGATCATGACCTTGGCTCTTCTATGAAATAAAATTGGCTTAAGTTTGCCCTGATGACCTATAAGCAGAATTCTGTATGATCCCTGAGCCACTAAATCCCTTAAGCAAACTGGGGAGTTGTCATTATATAAAAGAGTTTCAATTGAAAATGAAATTAGCAAGAATCAATTTAAAATATCTGTCACAATGACTCACCCTAAGAGATGTTTTGTATGTGTTTTGTGGATGGCAGGAAAATATCCAAGTATAAACTTCAGTGTCCAGAATGTGTCACTGGGACAGGAAACTAATGAAAGAAGGTGATGAACTTCTTAGTAGCCAGGCTGAAGAAATGTGGGGATAGGAGAGGCACAAACCCTGCAGCATGTGGGTGTCAGGCAGTGTACCTGCGTGAAGCAGGCCAGGTGTGGGCTCATACGGAGTGGGAAAGGCCATGGAGACCTAGAGAGCAAGTTCTCCCCTTAGGGACAGCTGCCCCCAGTCCACGGTCAGGGGAAATACGGGCCTTTAATTGCTACATGCTGCAATCTTTCTGGAGAGGCTAAAACTTTGCTCCTAGAGGTAAAGTTACCCAATTTTAAAATACTTTTAGATTTCCCAGTTTTTAAAAAACTCCTTTGCAAGCCAGTTTGTGGCTTCTGGTCATGGGAGTTGAGTAAGGAGTTTGGCTCACAGGGAAGATATGAAAGGGGGAAAGAAGTTGTAAGAATTGGTGTTTCTCTGGGACCGTTCAAGAAAAAGGGCTGTATCTGATGCTCTTGGGTCTCCAAGACAATGTGGAGGAGGAATAGTTCAATCCAGTTCCTGAGACACTTCTTGAGCACCTACTCTGCGCCAAGCCATGCTTGTTCTACCAGGAGCATCCAATTGCCTTCGCTTTCTTTTTACGCTCCTGAGCTGCCTGCTGACCACTCATTTGGCTTTTGTATGACCTTGATACAGAGGATTGGGCTCTCAGGGGCACCGATACTCCAGTTACGAGTTATAGAACAAGACTGTGTAGGACCTGGTCTCTTTCTCATTGACAGCATTTTGGGAGCTTAGCTCTTTCTGTTCCATGTTAGCACGATGAGAAAAAAAGGGATATTTTGTAAGTAAGATATAGATTCTGGTCAGAGTAGAAAAAAAAGAGCATGAAAAACACATTTTAGCAAACCTTTTAGCAAAAAGTCT